TATTTATAGTCATCAAACATTGCACGCACTACGAAGTGGTGCCAAAAAGGGGATGAAAAGCCACCAAATTTAAATAATAAACAGCCAAAAACCGCCACCGTATAACACCATGCGGTCACATGGTTATCACCAAAGCAGGACCTTCAGGCCCTGCATATGTTCATGCGTCCACATAGGCCATTGCCTATGCGGTCGCATAGAGATAAATGTTGGCCTCCGTTTTAACTTTCATCCCACTTCATTCCACACTCGACTTTTATTGATATTGAACAACATTTTCCAACAGTATGAGGAAACATGACAGAGAGTTTAAAAAGACTATCAGGGTGTAGAGAGAAAAACTAGAACCGGTACAAATAGGTGTACAGTGTAGGTTGAGTGTTCTAGTTTTGTGTACGGTGAAGAAAATTTTGTATTGTGAGGTTTTCTCAACTAATAAAGTATTCTTTTCGCAGGCAGTTTGTTGAATCACGTTTAATTTGTGTTTCTCTCTTTTTGGCTAGTTTTTTGTGTTTTTCGTTTCCTTTATGTCTCCTGCATGTTTCCGTCTAACCCCTCATGCAGAACATAAATTGTTTTAGAGTATCTTTGGTAGGTTAGATAAATAGCGCTGAAAGATTTTAAGAAAAGAAAATGAGCTAAATATTGCATATTCTCCTGTTGAGTATTGTCCAATGTCCACTACAGCATACTCTTGCCGTCATGTGTAGTCTCTGAACTTGACAATTTGATGTAGTGTTGCTCATTTTCCCAGGGAATTTATGGCTGAAACATTGACAAACATTGCTGCTGAAGTGGTACGCAATTGCAATAACCTCAAAGGTAAGGTGCAAAATCTTAAAAGGAAAATTGAACGGCTCAGCAGTCAGGCAGCTGACGTGATTGTAATGCTAAGAGAGGCAGAACTTCACTCGAGCAAGAAAAGGAAAAGGGAAGTTGAAGATTGGCTGACCATTGTAGAAAAAAAGAAAAAAGAATTTGAAAGCCTGGAAAAAGAAGTTAACGAAAGTGGATTTTATTCACGTATACAACTGGCAAAACATGTTAATAAAATGATTGGGAAGTGGCAGAACTTATCGACCAAGGTACATTTTCTGGAGGGCTAGTACTTGATGTCTATGAACCAAAGGGGGAGCCGTTTGTGACAACAGGATGGAAAGGCCAGACATTTGAAGTTAATTTGCAGAAAATCTGGCTTAGTTTAAGGGATGATAAAGTTTTAGGTATTGGAATTTATGGAATGGCGGGAGTGGGCAAAACGACTTTGGCAATGCATGTCCATAACAATCTCTTGACAGAATCTATATTTTTAGGTAATGTGTATTGGATCACTGTTTCACAGGAGTTTAGCATTCACAAATTGCAAAATGACATTGCCAAAACCTTGGATCTAGATATTTCAAATGAAGATGACGAAAAGAAGAGGGCAGCAAAATTGTATCTGGCATTTAGGACAAAGAAGAAATTTGTACTCATACTCGATAATTTATGGAACGGTATTGCTACAGAGAAGATTGGAATTTCTCCTGAAATGAATGGATTCAAGTTGATCATAACGAGTCGATCACTAGAGGTATGTCGTTCTATAAAATGCCAAGTTAATATAAAAGTTGAACCTCTATCGGAAGAAGATGCCTGGAAATTATTTATTGAAAAACTTGGTTATGGCATAAAACTTCCTTCAGAGACAGAAGGTATTGCAAAGAAAGTGGCAAAAAGGCGTGCTGGTTTGCCACTTGGGATTATTACAATGGCTGGAAGCATGAGTGGGGTGATGGACATTCATGAATGGAGGGATGCTATGGAATAATTGAAAGAATCTTCTATGGGACGAGATAACACGGAAAATGAGGTATTACCAATCCTCCAATGTAGTTTTAATCGTCTGAGGGATCAAAGATTACAACGGTGTTTCTTGTATTGCTCTCTGTATCCTGAAGGTCAAAAAATCCCGAGATACAGATTGATAGCCAAATTTATTTCAGAGGAGCTGATGGATAAACGGGAGAATAGACAAGCAGAATTCGACCTGGGTCATGCAATACTGAATAAACTAGAGAACGTCTGCTTACTGGAAGGTGCTGAAAATTATCAGAAGGAAAAGTATGTGAAAATGCATGATTTGATCAGAGACATGGCAATAAGGATCACAAATGATAGTCCTAAATACATGGTAAAATCTGGACTTCAACTGAAGGGGACGCCAGAGGAGCAGGATTGGAAGGTAGACCTGGATAAGGTTTCCTTGATGTGTAACGAGCTATCTGAAATTTCACCAGGCACGTCGCCAAATTGTCCTAACCTTTCGACTTTGATTTTGAGAGAGAATCCTTTGAGGCTGATTCTGGATTTGTTTTTTACACACATGCATGGCTTGCAGAATCTCGACTTAAGTTATATCAAGATTGAGAAGTTGCCCAGTTCCATATCAGACTTGGAGAATTTATGTTCACTATTGCTCAGAGGTTGTGCCAAGCTCAAATTTGTGCCACCCCTGGGAAAGCTCAAAGCACTGAAGGAGCTGGACCTAACAGAAACTAGAATTATGGAAATACCTCAAGGCATGGAAAATTTAGCCAACCTCAAACGCCTCGATTTATTAGCTATGCGCCTGAGGGCGATACCAACAGGGATATTGCCCAGACTCTTGAATCTTCAGCGTCTCATGCTTCCATATCGTATGGAAGTACCAGTGGAAGAACTCGAGGGGTTGAAACAGCTGGAAGAATTTCAAGGCGAGTTGCACGATGTATGTGATTTCAACCAATTTATTAAGTCTCAACAGAGTCACGGGCGACTAAGATTCTATAATATTCGCATAGGTAAGGCAGAATCTCATGAAGATTTCTGTGAAGATCTGGAAAAATTAAGTGACAGAAGGGCGATTTTAAGAGGTTGCACTCTCAATGAAGTAGGAAGAAGAGGAGAGGCTGTGCTATTTGCCCGGGACATTCAGCATCAGGAAATTGATTAGTGCAACAACTTGAGTAGATGTTTTTTGGATGATTTCCCATGGTTTAAAAATCCAAGAAACTTGAGGAGTTGTGAAATTTTTCTTTGTAAGGAAATAGAATGCTTTTTGACATTGTCCTCCCACAAGGAACTGATTGCAGGAGGAATACAAGATTCTCGCAGGGTACCACTCCAAAGCCTTGAATATTTACATCTATCTGACTTGCCTAACTTTATTGGTATGATTAGGTGGGAATGGGGAATGGTTGCAGACCCTCCCCGCGGAATGTTTTCCTGTCTGAAAAAATTAGACATTAAATACTGTCACAGAATCGAGAAGCTTTTCCCGTGGCGTATGCTGCAGAACCTCTGTAACCTGGAATTTTTGTACCTTTTTTCATGCGAGAAAATGGCAGAAATAATAGCTGAAGAAGAAGAAGAAGAAGGTATGGATGTTACAAACTCTATAACACTCCCGAGGTTAAGGCATTCGTCCTTGAATTGCTTGCCAGAACTGAAATTGATCTGCAAAACAACAATGACTTGCAATTCCATGGAGTCTATTGATTATGGGGCTGTAGAAAACTAAAGAAGTTGCCTTTCTTTCAATCGACTATTGATGGACAACCATGTTCTCCAACGGCTCTTAAAGTGATTGAGATATGCAAAGAAGACGAAGAATGGTGGGAATCAATGGAGTGGGAACAGCCTAATGCCCGAAATATCATTCAATCTTCTGTTAAATTCTATTAGCTCCCTGCAGATACTCAGTTGCAGGAATTAGTCGATAAAGGCTTCATCAGTATCCTTTCCCTCAAGATTTTATATACTAATATCATATACAAAAATATTCTTTTGGAACACTAGTCTCTTGTAATGCCATTTGTGTGGATAAATTTTCAAATCATAAATAGATTTAGCACGTATGTATTATAATTCTTGTATTTAAAAATCAAAAGATGTACTTTTCTTTCAAGATGAGCACAAGAAATTTCTAAAATAATTTGTAATTTAAACATATTTGGGTTGTTCCGTCATCTGGTTGCACATGCATCTTTAATAACTTTTGCAGATACCATCCAATAATCAACTGATTGTGTACGTTATTGAAGTATTTAGGCATACATTGTATTATACAAGATTTAATGTCTCACTCGTGTTTTAGGCGTACATAGTACTATATAAGATTGGACAATAAGGAAACTCAAATTACATTTGAGTTGAAATCAAGATACAACTTCAGGATAGGCCTACTTCAATCAACCAATCAGGTACATATCCATGTAAAAACCTGACAATAAAATGAGACTGTTATTTTGTTACCATAATTTCTCATTCACAGTTAGGATTAATGAACTAAATTGTGTTACCTGAGAAAGTTATATATCACCAATATTCCCTGAGAAAGGGTAGAAGGACATTGCGAGCATTGGGATGATCCCATTCCAATGATTCCCACCATTGTCTCTCTTCTCTTCCTACCTTTATATCTTTGAGAAATGCGGGAGCAGATGGTTGTCCATCGAGGAGGATCTGCAGGTGCAAAGGGACCTTCTTGAGTTCTGTACATTCATGTATCGAAATAGACTCGATGGAATCACAATTCATATTCCCCTTGCAGATGCTCTTTAACTTTGACAGTTTATAAAGCGATAAATCTTTTAACTTTGGCAGGGTAACATTAGCGCTACTGTTTACAGTAGGGTCTCTCCCATAGTGATCATCATCATCATCTCCTATTATCTCTACCATCTCATCACAATTATAAACATCCAACTTTTGGAGATTATGGAGGTTCTGTACCAAACTCCACTGGAGAAGCTTCTTCATTTTTCTACAATCATAAATATATAACGTTTTAAGCTGGGAAAAAGTGCCAGGTGGAATTGGTGCAACTTCTGCTCCTCCTTCCCACTTGAGGAGACCCATGAAATTTGGCAAACCATTAAGAGATAAATCTTCAAGGCTTTGGAATGGTACCCCACGAGACTGTTCTTCTTCCTCCGCAGATGATAACCTCATAATGCACTCTATATAATCCTCAACTGCTATGTAGCATTTTTTTAGGTCTTTAGCATTATACAACATTGGGAAATAATCTAATAAGCAACAATTCAAGCCAGATCCTTCAAAGAGTAGTTCCTCAATATCTTGTGGCAGTAAATTTTCATCTACGCCTAACGAGGATCCAGTGAGACTGTCCTCTCCAAAATGTATCACTTTACAAGGTGGATAATATTCGTCATATCCAAAAACTTCTCCAGGCTCGTTTATAATAATGTGGTAGGAATTGAGTCGCCATTCACTTTGTTGAGACTTGATTAATCGATTAAGATCAGATACACTATTCAATCTGCCATCAAATAGTTCCAACTGTTTCAATCCTTCAACATCAGTTGGGGGTACTACATGACACGGCAATGTGAGCTCTTGAAGATGTGCGAGTCTAAGCAAAATCCCGGCCGGCATATCCTCTAAGTTGCAACAATCCATGTATAGGAGTTCGAGGTTGGTCAAGCTTTCCATACCTTGAGGCACTTCCTCAATGCTAGTACTTGTTAGGTCCAGCTGTCTCAGTGCCCTGAGCTTTCCCAAAGGTGGCACATAAACAAGATTTACACAGTCTCCGAGTAATAATGCTTTAAGTTTTTCCAAGTCTGATATGGAATGTGGCAACTGTTCAATTGAAGTCTCGCTTAAATTGAGAACACAGAGACCAGGCATATGCTCAAAGAAACGTTCTTGGATAAACTTGAGAGGATTTTTCCTCAAAATCAATGATGAAAGTCTAGGACACTTAGGTGATATTCCAGGGGAAATGCCATCTATATTGTTATCCATTAAGGAAACCTTTTCCAAATCTTCTGTCCAGTTCTGTACCTTTGGTATTTCCGTCAACTCAAGTCCAGATTTTACCATGTATCTAGGGTTATGTTCAGTGATCGTTATTGCCAATTCTCTGATCAAATCATGCATCTTCACTATCTCTCTATCTGTCCAGATTTCCACTAAGCAGGCTTTCTCTAGTTCATTTAGTATTGCATGGCCTTGGTCAAACTCTGATCGCCTACTCAATCTTCTATCTATGAGCTCTTCTGAAATGAAATTTGCAATCAATTCGTCTCTTGGAATATCATAGTCTTCAGGATACAAGGAGAAATACAAGAAACAGCTTTTTAGCTTTGGATCCTTCAAACGGTTAAAACTGTACAAGAGTATTGGCATAGCTCCATGTTCCATGTCTGCTTGCCCCATACACGATTTATTTAGTTCTTTTGATGCATCTCTCCATTCATGAATGTCAGTCACCCCCTTCATGCTTCCAGCCAATGCGACTAGTGCAAGTGGCAAACCACTGCATCTTTTGGCCATTTTCTTACAAATATCTTCTGCTTCTGGCGAAAGTTCAACACAGTCAAGTTTATTTGAAAATAGTTCCCAAGCTTCTTTCTCAGTAAGTGTGTTCACTTTTATAATCTTCTGGCAGCCCATTTGTTGACAAACTTCTAGTGATCGACTTGTTATAATCAACTTGCATCCATCCATTCCGAGAGGAATACCTATATTCTCCGTGTCAATCTGTTTTGAGACATCATCTAGTATAAGTACAAATCTTTCCTTATTCTTTAATCCACGGAATAGTTCAGCTGCCCTCTTCTTCTCGTCACTCTCTATTGAGATACCTATTTTCAAAGCTTGAGCAATATAATTTTGCAATTTGTAAATACTGAACTCTTGGGAGATAGTGGCCCAAAAAACATGAGGCGAGTATTTGGATTCATTTAAGAGGTTATCACGGACACGCCTTGCTAGAGTCGTCTTGCCTACTCCTCCAATTCCATAAATGCCAATGCTTAAGATGTTTTCATCCATGAATGATGCCCAAATGTCATTGAAATTTTGTAGAAATGCTGGGCCGATACTCTCATTATCCTCAAGAAAAAGCCCTCCAGAAAAATCCCCTTGCTCAACCAGCTCCGCCATTTCCTTGTTCATTCTTTCAACGCGCTCTGCCAGCATTTGTTGTGAATCAACAAGATAAAACCTGTTGCATTGTACTTCTTGTTCCAGGCTTTCGAATTCTCGTATGCTTCTTCTGACATTAATCAACCAATCTTCAACCTCTTTCTTGCACTTTTTTCCAGAAAGATGTGCTGCATTTTGTAATTCAGAAAGTTAAAATTCGCTATTATAACATTATTAAAATAATAATAATAATAATAATAAAAAGTTCTATTAGGTAATATATTATTAAAATGTAGAAACTGGTTGATTAAGGATTTTCCTCAGAAATATAAAGAATATCAGTATGTAGCCATCCTTGAGAAAAAATGAGGAGGAAAGAAAAAGAAAAATCCATTATCATACAATTTAATTTGAAAGACCATAAAACTCGCTGTAAACTCGATTCTCACGACAAGGGAGGCGGTATTTCTAACAACTGAAACTTTTTTATGAAGCTGTTGATCACAAACTTTCTCTTTAATATTCAATATTCAAGTTCTAAATTAAGGCTCAATTTGGGATTGATTTTAGAGTTCCAACTTCTTTTTATCGAACAATCATAGTTATTTTAGATGTTTGGTAAATTTAGAAAAACTAATAATGGAATTATTTATAAAGTTTATACTCTATATGAAGATAGAACTTAACAAGAATTTATAAACAACGAGTTGACCTACTTCCTTGAATGGCTCCAAATCTTCTTCAGTTGAATTGAGAAGTACTCAATACACTAATTCTGAGAAGAGATGAGTATGCGTATGTAAGAAGAAAGAACCAAATTATCATATCATTGAAACTCAGAAGGCTAGCTCTTTCCTCCTGAGCTAGGATCCACTTCTTGCTTATGAGTCCGATAAGCTGCCTAAAGTATTCAATATTTCAAGTCAATCAACAAAATCATATTTATTTATATAGAAAAAAAATGCGATGAAACTCTAACAGATGCAGGAGTAGATTAACATATATTTACCTTGAATCGATAAAATATTTGAGAAATTCTTTTATATAATCTGCTTACAATCTGAAAAAAGCAAAAGAAGAGTATAATTCATTAAGATGAATTAATGGCAGAAAGCTGTGGGTTGGGGGAGAGGCATATATGCTGATTTAAGAGTTCGTTTAAAAAACTCGATTAGGTGAGAGTCAGCTCAATAATGCAGAGAACGTTTACAAATTAGCAGTTTTTTATTTTTTATTTTTATGTATTCTTTTCTTCTACTTCATCATCTTGTTGACGTTTTCTTCCATCTTTTCTTCTTTTTGTCCAACACCATTTTCTTGTTTTACACTTCTACTCTAAATAATGGAATATTTTTAAAGCATTAAATGTCTAATATTAGATATTACAATAGGAAATTATACCATATTCATACAAAAAAAACTTCGTATTTTTGTACTTAAGATTTTGATTTTATTTTTAATTGCAACACTTGTGTTTTCAACTGATGGGTTGTGATGCCATTTATGTCAATTGCATTCGATCCATTTGGGGCAATGATGAAACGGGCTTGGCCCATTGCTGAAATGATTTTATACAAGAGAAATTATAATAATTCAGGTGTTTAAAGATTGGAATTCAAAATTCAGGGACCAGATTTTATTATTCAAAAATCAGGTGGTATAAAAGCTATTTAACCCTAATTCCTTTCGCAGCAGCGACGTGCTGCTGCGACCCCACAGTAGCGTCGGCGTCGCGACGCTGCTGTGGGTGGTGGTTTGCGGTGGAGCAACTGGGGTTGGTCTATTGTTGTTGGGGTTGGTGGATCTATTGTTGTTGGCCGACGGTGGTGGTTGTGGTTGGCCATTGGTGGTGGTGGATCTATTGTTGGCTGGTGGTGGTGGTTGGCTGTTGGTCTATTTTTGTTGGGGTTAGTGGATCTATTGTTGTTGGCTGGCGGTGGTGGTGGTTGTGGTTGGCTTTTGGTGGTGGTGGATCAATCGATGTTGGGGTTCAGTCGTGTGTTT